AGAGTTCCTTAAGCATCTTCGTGAAGATGCTCCAAGTCTGTTCACTCTTGAGAACCTATGAGTTTGTGTATTATTTGATTATTATTGTATTATTTATCAATTTAAGTCTACAGATGTTTTATCTGAGTGCATAGAGAGAAACTGCTTAGGCAGTCAAATGTGAGGCCAGAAGAATGAGGGCAGATGAGGACACTGCCGCACAATTTCCAAAACTCACTGGCATAGCCGACAGAATTTCCACAGTAACCCAGTGACCAAGTCAAAACTTTGAAATGCAGTAGATCACCAGTTTCAATAACTGCTCCCAAAATCATCTCAAACCAAAAGCATCTTTCCTAAACAAACTGTTCAGAAAACTTTCCAATTTTTTTTTTTTTTTAAATGTTCTTCGCAGACTGGAAAAACTTGCAAGTAAAAAAATAAATAAATCATTCAGTCTTCTTCAAGTGACTTCACTCCACAACCTTCCTTGACACAGCAAAGTAGCCAAAACCATGAAAAAAGACAACTTACATAAAAGAATCTGAAATCCTCACAAATGTTTCAAATGCGTGTATTCCTTGGTGTTTCTGCAGGTTGGCAGCATCTATAGCGGCAAAAAGTGATGCAGTGAAAAAAGCTGCAACCTCACTGCAGCTATGCCTCAGCCAATCAGAGCGCTCCACACTGACTGCCCCTGTCTGACAACTCACAGGCAGCCAATCAGGGGATGAAATACAGCCATTTGATGGAGTTATCTCTCACACACCCAGCAAAGAGGAAATTCTGCTTCTCTTTTTTCTATCATCATCAGGATCTCCCCTGTAACGCCTCCATGGTGATTCCAAGCACTTCTAACACTTTAATACTCACCTATACAAATCTACCTCATTCATTCATTTATCAGCTTGATGAAACCAAATCTTTTTTTTATGTTTCTGGGCATGCACAGCAGGACATTTTCATTTTCCCTCCTTCATTTTACTTGTAAATGACCGGATTTCAATACAGCTCATTTGAGGGACAATCTCTTTCTATTGATCAGACTAAAACTGCAGCTGCACCACAATTTATTTCACAGGGAGGTCTAAGATAAGGTCAATATTCAGATCTCAGGAACCTAACCTACCTTTTTTGCAAATTACACTGGAAGTGGGATACAAATGGTATGCATGTATATGATTAGAATAACTAATATATAGTCATTCGTTTTGCTTCTTGTGGAAACCTGAACGTGCCACATAAGTCAAGCAAACTTGCTTGAGTTTACATTCACCACAACTGATGTGTGAGCTTATGAATGTTTATATGTGAATAAAAGCCTAAATTGAATCTGTTCATCATATAATACAACAGTTTCTCTTTGGAAAATTTGGACTAAATAGCTACATTTTAATGGATTCGTTTTATTAGCTCTTTATGAACTCTTTGAAGCATCAAAATTGCGTAGCTGTCAATGGAGGGACAGAAAGCGCTCAGATTTAGCCTAATTAAAAATATTTATTATTTTTTTGTGTTCAGGAGATGAACAAAGTGAGTAATTAAGAAGTGAGTGAGTAATTAATAACAGAATTTAAATTTAGGTGAACTAACTTTTTAAATACAATAAAATCAGCAAGTGAGAAAAGCCTGTCCTCAATAGACTAATAGAGGCAATGCACAAAAAACTGGACTTTATATGAGGTTCAGGTGTTACTGGTAAATAAATAATTTTCCCAATCACTGTAGTGGTTCCCCCTTTCCTTCAGGGGGCCCTTGCACTGCTAAACTATTAATATGTGACGAAAGAGAGAGATACTAAATTATTCACCCAGACCTTTGTGATGAGAGGTCTGGCTACCAGCTTTTACTGCACTTAATTAAAAAAAAATGTTGAAAATACAGAAAAAGGCATGAGAAGGCACAAGTATGCACATATCTAAAGAACAGAACAGAGGATTCTAGTGAAGATCATCAATATTAGCAGGGTTTCTATCAGACTCTTCTTCTCCGGGTGGAACTGGATAGCTCTACATGTGGCAGGTTTAACTTTTAAACAGTTACTGTGCGATAAGCTGAATGAAAATAAAGGGGCATGGATAAATGTGAAAAAAGTGTCTATATATACTGCGCCACAAACAATAGAGCAGCTCCATTAATCTATTTAAGATTAATTTAAAACGTGTATAATTAAAGACCTAAGCTATAGCTTATGTTTCTTTAACCTCTATCTTTGAGTGTCTTTGAATAGAAAAAAAATATGAGCATGCAGGTCCTGTTCTTACATCCGGCTAATGCTGTATTATTTGCATTTTTTTTCTCACTACATCTGCAAATTCAGCACGCAAATTAAGAAATCCACAAGTGATCCACCCATGATCATTAAAGTGCTAGGAAGTTATTTTTGCCCTCCATAATTGAAGCAGCATATCTCATTCATCTGTGGGAGAGGTTATGAATAATGCAGTAAACTCTCTTGACCTTCATAGTAAAACATTTAATAACACAGTTACTGGTCTATGCAGTGCCAACAAATCTAAGCTAGTCCACTATAGAGGAACTTTCGGTTTTGTTCAAAGTGCTTTTGTTAGTTGTCAAACAAAAGAATTCTTGATGCGCAAAAAACTGCAGCCAGGCTTTTGTCCAAGACTGCCGCCATCCCAAAAAAAAAAAGTCTGATCGTAAGGAAACCAAGTCTAACGCAAACCATCAAGCTTTATAAAACACACCCATAGGTCAGTATCAGTAATGTGGAATGCAGAACATGACTGTCTTCATTATGAGCCAATAAGTAAACCACCTCTGACACTTCCCCTCAATTCCTATTCTGATAGCCTTAACATTATTCTCTCTGTAAATGATAAATTTAGTCACTTAATCAACCTCCAACCTCGAAAATTACACTGAACTCTTACACTGAAGTAGAAAACATGTCTGTATATGGGCAACAAAATTTCACAGTGTCTGACAGCTATTGTTCCAATAAGGATAAAGACATCTTTTATTGACTAAAATTAAACTAAATATGGCTCCTTAAATGTATATTTTGGGTGGACAGAAACCCACAAAACTGCCCGAAAACTACACAAACTGCAATTCATATCATGATGTATTAAGCATTGCTGGTGTTTACTGTTTACCAAATAATAAAGGTCTTTTCTTTGCCATATGTCTACATCAAACATTGAAAACAAGTGTAATCCTCTCTAGGAAAAATACTAATAGCAATCCTCATCACACAGTGGAGAGAAAAGAAAGGCACAGCTGTCTTTTGTGGCACTGTATTAAACAAATATCACTCAAATCTGCTGGTTTAGTGAGCAGCCTCACACGAGAGCACTGAAAGTAAGGATCTAATGTTCTGGAAGTACAAAACTTCTGGGTTTAATAAATAATAATTTAGAAACAAAATGTTATATTAAAGCGTTAGTTGTTCCCCATTTAAGCCATAATGGGTGTATATGACTTTCTTCTTTCAGCCATATCCTAGCTCTTCCGAGCTTTATAATGGGAGTGAATGGTGCTAGTTTTAAAACCAGCTTCCAGTAACGGCCGTACGCAAGTCAAGTTCTGGCAGAAAATTGACCTCTGACCCGACGTATGACAAAAGATGTAGGAGTAGCGTAAGCTTACGCAACTCTTGCGGTTCAAACAAATGGGGCTGGGCAACAGACTCAAGCTTCTCTTATATCGAAATCCTTAAACATTTCTCTTTACAAATTTTCATTTTAGACTTCTAATTTGTGGTGGTTTATTTTGCTCTATAAAGTTGCAAACAAAAATACATCACTTCGCTTCAGAAGGTCTTTATTAAAGGTGCAATGTGTAATATTTCTGAGGATCTATTGATGGAAATGCAATGTAAGATCCATAAGTGTTCAGTGGTGTATAAAGACCTTACTCAAAGAACTGTAATGTTTTTATTACCTTTGAATGAGATATTTATATACTTAACCGCGGACACCCCCTTCTATGAAGGTCGACATATTGTGACGTCATGTTTCTACTAGGGGTGTAACGCTTCACGAAATTCAAGGTTAGGTTCGATACGAGACACTTCTGTCATGGTTTGGGTGGTACGGTTCGGTATGTTTTCGATACAGCAAAAAGAAAGAAATGCCAGAGAAATTTGTTTGATTTAATTTTTTAATTATATTTTTATTAAAACTAACATCATAAAGTTTTTTGTTTTGTTTTTTTACTTTGAGCAATGAGCTATACTTGACTTTGCTTAGAAGCATATAAAACAAAACAGCTCCTTGGACAAAATGAAATGTAATTCTGTAGTAGTAATAAACAAAGGTTTATTTTAGTTCAGATTAACATTTGAGGGCAGCAAATGTCAAAATAAAACTGACATAATGTTGTTACGTAAAAGCATTATAGTCTACTATTCCAGCCAAACTTCCATTATTACAGTTAGTGTTACTACAGTAAATCCATGATAAATGTTGCTGATCTGTGGATAACAACAGTTCATTCATGGCTCAATGTTTCTTCCTCGTTTCTACGTCAGTGCTTATAATAACAGAGAAATGTGAATGTGGCTTTGTAAACTTTATCCATGATGTTTCTTATAATGAACTGTGGTACAGAAAGTGACAATGTTACACACTGTTACTCTGGCTATTTTCTGCTGTCTCAGACGATATGTTTGTCCCGTTTGAGCAACCGTAGCTTCTTTGAGCAGTGGGCTGAGCCCTTAGAGCAACTGTCGCTAAAAAATACACATTGCAGCTTTAACCCCCATGGAGCCGTATAGATTTATTTTAATGATGGATAGATCCGATTTTGGGGGTTTCAAAATCTATGGTACCACTCTCTCCCAATATAAAGCTTGGAAGAGCCAGAATATGTTTTAATATAACTCTGATTGTGTTTGGCAGAAAGAAGCAATATGCACCTAAATTATGGGATAATTTTCATTTTTGGATAAAGAAACCTCTTTCCTACGCCTATCCCATCATGAACCCATCATACAATTGCATCATTTAATTCAATAATTCAATCGTGTTGAATATAAAAGAGATAAAGTCACTCACCATAAGTTCATGTTCAGTGCGATGGACGCCCAACTTTTTCAGTCCGATGGTCAGGTCGTTCACACAAATTCCTCCGTCTCTGTTAACATCCAGGATCTGGAAGAGCACCTTGAGTCGGTGCTCCTGCTCGGGTCCCCCGCACACCGGGCACGGGCAATGATGCGGGGAGTCGCAGGACTCATCATATCCGTGGTCTGAGAGTGATGTTGCGGCCAGTGTGGAGCCCACAGTCCGGCCACCACCTCCGGGATCCGAGCCCTGATACTCCGAGCGGCACTGGCAGAAAACTCCGCTGAGCAACGGAGAAACGAAAGAGCCACGCTGATGCATTTCACAAGGGCTGAACTCCTGACAATGTCACGTAGCGTCTCTGTACGGGGAGCGTGAGCCTGTAGCTGGTAACCCAACCGTTTTCAGTCTAGATGCGTGACAGATGTGCACCGAGATAAGCTTCCAAATTCGCCCAAGAGTTAGCTATTCCACGGGAGCCTATTTACTTCAACAATGAGTTTGATATGTTTTGGAGTAAGGTTCAAAATGGATCGGCCAATTTCCACGATTCACTAGCGGCATTCAGATCTCCGGGTCATAGTGATGAGCTGGAAGAATGTCCCAACAATACTCCGGTGTTTTAGAATGTCAAAAAGCACAGATAAATCGGCTTACCCTGCCATATACATAGATCCGAACCTCTTTCCGGATATAAATCCCTTAGTTTGTGAATTTCAAAAGGTTATCCGGTTTGAATTGGCGGTCTGGGTGACAGCTGATGCAACGAGAATGCCGGTCGGCCGGTAAAGGCAGTAGGCGGGAGGAGTCTCGTCTCGTATTCGACCGGAAATGAGTAATGAAAGGGGAGGGGCCAATGATGTGAGTGATGGATGCATGCAGTTACAATCACCTTTGTTTACTTCACGCACCAATATTTCTGTATTTCCAACTGTAAATAGATAATAACAATAAAAATAACAATAGACATATTATTATTAGAATTACTTGTAATCATTGTGAATTATGATTTTTTTTTATCTAGCAAATGCAGATTTGCAATTTTATGCTTGTGTGTGTGTACTGTGTAATATGCTGTTAAATTTGACTCTGAAACCCTATTTTTAAATATTCCAGAGGGCAAATACCTATATTTACCCGTCATCACTCACAGGCTTGTGATCAAATTCCCCCCCAAAAATTATTTAAGAGAGACACCTGCTGGGCAAATCATATAATGCCGTTTTATGCTGTTTAAATTAAGATTTGAATTTCCTTTAAAGACAATTTCCTAAAGTGCCATTAGTTTTTTATTCTGGGGAAGACTCCAATAAGTTAATAATAGCCTAATAGCTTTGTGTCTGCGGATTATTAATATTGCACTGCAAAACAGTCTCTGCCTTAAATTTGTAAGTAGTCTACAATGAACTTGTATGTTTAAGTCATTTCAATTGAATTTGACTTCACTTTTTTAATACTGTATAACTTATAAAAAACATTTAAAACATTTTTCTGAACAAATAATGAAGGCCAGTTCAGCCACAAGAGTTGAAGGATTTTATCAAATTATCCGGCAGACTTTACCAAAAGCAAATTTGTGATACAACAAGCATCTTCAAAACAATGGGTTTGATGAACTTTAGAACAACCTGATTCATACAATGTTGCATTGGCATTAAATATCTATGGGAATGATATAACTGTAACAAAGAGACCACAAGTTTAATCTTTTCTGAGAAGTTGAAGCCAAAAAAATATCCTATAATTTGTATCCATTGTCAAAGCAAGCAGTTCAACTGCAGCAGACCATGAGCGGGCTAGCTAGCAGCTCATTGGTTCGCTCAGAGAGAACTGCTACAGCCTATGGGAGAACTCGGCTGAACTCGCGGCCAATGAGAAGCCGACACGCTCTCTTTGCGTCAAAGCCCGCCAAAATGGGCGTGGCTCGAGTGTATAAATACTCGAGATCTCCAGTTGTTTAATTGATATTTCATCACTTCAATGAGGTTACACGAACCCGCTGTTATGAGAAGGAGCCGTCGCCGTCGAGAAGGCATCTCAAATGAGCATTTGGAGTGTGAGGAAGCCGGCCGTCTTCGCCACCGTCAGCCGTCCTGCAAGCTAGCGCCATCCGGGGACTGTTTTACTCTACTCTGCATCTAATAGAGCCGAGCGTCTTTTGCAAGATGCCTCGCATTTCCTGCGGTTCTTGCCGCGCTCCTCACGAGGACTGAGATCGCCACGTCATTTGCGCTAGTCTCTGCCTTGGATTGGAGCACGCGGAGCTCGCCCTCGCTGAAGATGCGACCTCTTCGAAGACTTGCCGTTGTCTACCCTGCGGGCTCGACTTCAGGCCGTCAAAGCTGCATCCGCGCCGCCTCTCACCTCGCCGCGGAAGTAGGTTACTCCCGCGGAAGAAGAAACGCCGCTCCCAGAGGCCGCCGGGACCCTCGATGGTAGCGTTTATCCCGCCGGAGCCGCCTCTCGCCTCCTGCTCTCCTTTTCGGCCCCCGCCGGACGTACAGTTGCCGCCGAGTGGCCGCTCTGTCGCTTCGACGACGCCGCTTAACGCCACCTTCACACTGGCAGTGGAAATCAGCTCCGTAATACGCAATACGTTCCCAACGGACGTCGTACTACACAGTGAAAAGTGTCGGACGCGGGTAGAACAAAAATGACGGAGAGATTAAAGTTTGATTCTGTCAGTTCTGTATGATCTCTCTGATGAGGGTTATGCTGCGTGAGGAAAGTTGCTCAGGACGTTGACATGTCAGGTCGGCTAAAAAATGTGATATAGTGGTCAATAGTTCAATGTCTAAGTTACCTTCAATTTAATTGTATTAACTGCCCTTATAAACGTTAGAAAGTCATGAAAATAAAAAATGACATGACAATTTATCGTTATAAAATCATTATTTATTTTATTAAAAGTTAATAATTCAGGTTTGTTTATCAGTACCATAGCAACGCTCAACTTCCGCTGGAATTGTCGGATAGGAACCGTCGGTAGCTTTTCGCACGAGTTCAAATTTTTGAACGCATCCGGATGACCAACGGAAACGATTTTCTTCGCACCGCACTCGGTCGGACCCGTTTCGGACCCATTCGCATGCGGTCTGCGAATCTCCATAGGAAATGAATGACTTCCGGTCGTTTCGCAGCCGCATCGGAGCTGATTTCAACTGCCAGTGCTGATAAACAAACCTGAATTATTAACTTTTAATAAAATAAATATTGATTTTATAACGATAAGTTGTGATGTCATTTTTTATTTTCATGACTTTCTAACGTTTATAAGGGCAGTTAATACAATTAAATTGAAGGTAGACATTGGACTATTGACCACTATATCACATTTTTTAGCCGACCTGACATGTCAACGTCATGAGCAACTTTCCTCACGCAGCATAACCCTCATCAGACAGATCATACAGAACTGACAGAATCAAACTTTAATCTCTCCGCCATTTTTGTTCTACCCGCGTCCGACGCTTTTCACTGTGTAGTACGACGTCCGTTGGGAACGTATTGCGTATTACGGAGCTGATTTCAACTGCCAGTGTGAAGGCGGCGTAAGGACACTTGTTCGCTTCTCGCCTCAGACGGTGAGGACTGGTCCTAATCTCATTACTCTTTTTCAGCCAGAGACTCGACCGGGACTCCAGGGGGGACTTATGCGCTTTCTCTCTAAGGCCGTCGACCGCCTCGGGCTCGAGTGGTCTCCGCAGGCTCCCACCCCCCGGCATGGGCCTCGTCCGAAGATTGGGCTGAAGCCCGATCAACGAAGTCTGCCTAGCACAGCTGAGAAAACGACGGCTTTCTCCCGCCGCGGCCGGACCGCCGTCAAAGCTTCACCCTCTGTCAGTCCCCGCTCATCTGGCTACTACAGCAGTGTTTACCGCCACAAACAAGCCGGTCTCTCCCCGCTTGCGAGCGTCAAAACGCCGTTTTCACGGCGACTCGTAGAAGTCTCAAAAAGAGCATAAAAGCTTCTTTTGTAGAAAATGTGCCCACAATCCTGTGTTCATCCACACACGAAAGCACCACGTGTCCCGTGTATCTCTCAGAGCCCACCCCCATAGAGCGGACAAATCCAGATAAATCCCTGTTACATGCCGTTCTACGTTTCGCCTTCGACGGTCAGGTTTATCAATACACCGTTCTCCCGTTCAGCCTATCTTTGGCACCCCATACGTTCACGAATCATGGCTCATTCCACTAGAACGAAGGCCCGCTCTGCGTGGCTGAAAAAGTTCATTATCTATGTTTATTCTGACTAAACTGTCTTTATTCTTTTCTCTTCTATACATAGAAGCGTGCAAGGCAAGCACGCTTTAATCTTTCTGATGCATATTAAGCCAATATTAAACCAATTTGTGTTAGTAGTGTTATTAATAATAAGTTCAACACTGCACTGTTAGAACAGCCGAGTGTGTCGTAATGAACTTTTAAAATAAATTTAATTTCAACAAAAAGTTTGAAATACAAAAATCTCAAAGGCTTGATTGTAAACTGTTTGTAAATTAGTTAACAGCTAAATAATTAATGTATAAATTAGTTGTCTTTCACACTGCCTAGCATCTAATGATTTACACTGTCTTTTATATTTGATATTGAGGCGGCCACGAGATGGCGCTAAAGTCATTTTAGAGCAAAATCTAAGCAAATGGGCAAATCACACAAGCGCGCGAAATCCTCATTATTAATAACTAGGATTGAGATTATCATTGACAACACGAACGTTTGTTTTCGTCCTCCCAAGAAGCCGGTTTTATTAGCTTTTAAGGGTTTTGTTGGTTAATTATTGTATTATTGATGTATCTACAATCATAACCTACATAATAGTAAAGCTAAACAACGAGCCTGAACTGAACATAACGAGCGTTTTTGGCTTTACAGTAAAGTCCAATCACTGTTGCGGTCTTGTGGATGTAACGGGAGTTTCAAACGCTCTCTGTGACCTGAACTGCTGGCTGTATTTAGGGAAATCCACGCGTCCATGGAGGCGGCGCTTATTGGAGTTCACTAAAAAGCCAGAGACTGTTTCAGTCCTGAGCTGTCAGCCAGTCAGCCTTTCGACTCAACACTAAACAGTTGATTTCGATACGATTTACATCTGGTTAGTAATTATATTATGGGTCGTTTTCTAAATCATTCCGTCCAGTGATTTCTGCCCTGGCTTCCATATGAAAACTGCTCATCGACGTAAGTATTCAACTGTCTCTATTCAAATTTTCACTTACGACATGAAACAGACGGCTGCTTTCGATTAAAGAGAGAATATTGCCAGTAGCTCTCAAGGAGCATACTACATATTGCTTGATTATGTGAATGTTGCTTGTGGACCTTTTCACCTGGATAAAACGGATTTCTTCAAGGTAACTAACTTAACTCTCCAGGAAATGTGTTTGCATTTCAGCAAAGACTTTAGCCTTCCCACAGTGCTGTCCCTGTATTGTCTGTAAGGTAATTAAGTTATGATGTAGTTTCTAATGTTTACTTGGTCGAATGTCTTTCTAATGTCTAATGATTTTCCACTGTTTTACACCCCAGGTTCCTCTGGACAGCGTCAGTCCTCTCAGAGATGCTGAACCAAAGCACATACTTTGAGAAGAACTTCCAGGCACCCGATTAAGAGAAACTCATTTCCCTGTATTCGTCTACCTCTGTCTTCAAACATCTAAAGTTCAGTCTCAGAATATGGCGTTTTTGATAAAAAAGAAGAAGTTCAAGTTTCAGATACACTTCACCCTGGAGGAGCTCACGGCTGTGCCGTTTGTGAACGGGATGCTCTTCTGCAAAATCAGA